TGTTACGTAAGCATTTTTTTTAAGTTCAACTTACTAGAAGTTCTTAACTAACTAGAAATGAATATTTATGTGGTAGTAATAATACTGATTATTTAAAACAGGCTTAAATAGTTATTGACTCCAAAAGGTTATAAAAATAAAAGTTAAGTCCTGTGTTTCAGATGCAAAGCAGAAGTAAATTTATTATTTTATAGTTGAAGTTTATAAATTAGGCGAAAATGCGGAATTCGAATTGATAAGATAAGAAAATAGTTTTGAATTATTAGTTTTATATATTACAAGTTTTAGATAGATAATTAACCTTTTCATTGTAATAAACGCTATCAATTACCGCTTCTCGCTTGCACGTATCCGCTACCTTATCTACCCACTCGGTCAAACTTAATTAAGTAGGTTGACGTTAGGTTACGAGCACCAAGAGTAAACTAATAGTTGTTCAATAAATACATAATAGTTCAATATTTAATTAAAATTTTACCAATACTAATATTAAAAAAGGAAATGTTTGAATGGTTTTTTCTTTGAATAGAATATACTTTCACTAATTACGCGGAAGAAGTAATGGAAAAACTGTGAGTGTAGGGTCAAAATAAATTTAAATTTATAGAAAATGAACTTTACATTGTGAATGCTAATATACACATCGTTTTTGTGAAGCAAAGACAACGTAACAAAGTGTATAATTAAAATAATGATTATATAGAAACGATGACGCCGTTTTTTTGTATTGATATTTGTACAATGCCTCCTACCTATACAAACATCTGATTTAGTTATACGGGACTGAGTTTTAATAATTTAAGGTTCATAAAAAAATAAGAATACAGAAGCTACTTTATTTTATATTATGTCTTTACCTAATTTAGAATCTGAGTAATGTTGTCTGATATTTATATTTAAACGTTACTTTCAGTTTGCATTAGATCCCTCTAATGGACGAGTGATTCACATTAAATGAAAACACACAGAGAGATATAACAGACGGTTCCACATTTATGACTTTCATTAATAGAGCTTATCGAATATCACTAACGCTTCACTGATATAGATAAGACCGCTTAATGGGGAAAATGTTATTATTTCTTATTCGTACTTTTTTGTTTTAATTTATTTGGTCACTTTCACCTTTTAATCCCGATGCAAAAAGAGTGTTATAAGTTTGAGATATCTTTTGGCTGTGTATCTGCTTGTGGCTCCGTAACACCTGAAGTAATGAACCGATTCGAGTTCTGTTTTTTTTTTATTTTATTATTCGAAAGCCTTTCTTGTTGTGACGGTTCTTAGCTATGTTTTACAAGAATCGGTTATCTAATTTAGGAGCTACAGGTAGTTCGCCAAGACGAAATAGCTACTTTTACTTTCAATTATTTGTATTTAATAAAAATCGGCCTATTAACTTGCAACCGAATAGATCGATTTGATTAGTCTTTTTTTATCTATAGCCTCTATTATCTAGATTATTTTGAGATATATATTTTATGTATAAGAAATTTAAAATTTTTAACTTTCACCATCGACCCAAAAATTACTATGAAAAGTAAAAAAAAAATAAAGCTGTCTAAACACAATTCTCATTGCGGTCGCAGTCATATAATGTTCCATTAACGGACCCCGATTATATTTTTTCCAGATCGCGGTATACTTTTATCAAATTGTACGCTTTGGCACTTTAATATTAATTCTTATGAAACCTACATTTTCTTGTCGGCTCCATAATTTTTTTAAAGATAGTGTTCAATAGGCTTTTATATTAGAGGTTTCTTATTCACCCCTTCGTATATAGGTGCATAGGTTCGTGACTTCCTTAAAAACCACTGATCTGATTCCAATGGGATTTTGATTGTTTTAAAATAGAACAATTCATATATATTAATCGACTTGCAACATAAATTCGATTCACTATTTTCGATTGAGTTGAAATTTTGCATAAACATACAACTTGAGTGACAACACATTGTTATTTCGGAATGGAGCAGAGTTGATGGTAGGGTAAAAGATAGCCTTGGGACTTTTGTAAACGAAGCAACCAAATCAAGTTTGAGCTCATTTGTTTTATATAAATCGGATCCAAAGAGTAAAGTATAGGATCACAAAGATTAAAAAAAAAATCTTTCTGCCCAGCTTTAAGAAGCGTTTAAGATTAGAAACTCGGTAACAAAGCTAGGACCAATTATCGTTAAAATTTCAGATAGATGCGTGGGACGTTCTATGGCCACGTCCTTTATGATATTTGCTCCTCGTAACGAAAATAAATGACACCATATTTTACAATATAGGAATCCATTTAATTATTAGCTTTTCTTGTCTGTCGATGGAACCGTTATCTCAAACATGTATTTAAAGTGATCTCGAGGATAATAGTGTAATTAAGAGTAAAGTCATCCTTATACTAGTATCTCATGTCATATAACTAATAAGCAAGCGCTATATTATTAAAATTGATATCATCTCTAGTATAATAATTTTGTCTGTAAAAATTTAACTAATAATCACTCTTTAAAGCTTTTTATTGAAATGTGTATATTACTAACAATATAAATGCGAAAGTTTGTGAGAATGTATTATATTTCTTACGCTTCCACGCAAAAACTTCTGAACGGGGTTTGATGAAATTTGGGTCACGGATAACTGCCTTAATTAACGTTTTGGCTTCATCTACTTTTTATCATACTAAGCAGTTGCTTATTCCGCGTAGTCAATGCGGGTGAAGCCACTGGCGGAAAGCCAGTGTTCTTATTAAAACCAAATTCATGATGATCCGGTCATTCACAAGAACAGAAAACCAAAAAAAATCAATGGGTAAAAAAAAAATAATCTGCAATTTTGCCGGTTGTTTTTAAACCCTATTAAAATTCAATATTATTTATTTCGTCTAGGCTGTTACACGAGTACTTGTGAGTGTCGAAAACTACGCCATTGGTTTGCAAATCTACGGCAGGAGACTGAACACTAAACAAAGAAATATTTGTACATTACTTGTTTATCTACAGACTTTTACTTGTTTATCACTTTAAGTTTTATATAAATCAGAGGAGGCTTACTAAGCAATGGATTGTTTTAAATTCAGTGCATAATACAATTGTTCAAGGTTTATATTCTCCTATCCGATCGAGCCTTGAGTAAGGAGTATTACAGTACAGTTAATTTACAGGAGCTCAATTGGATCAATTAGGGGAGTTTGCGACCGTTCCAGTAACTGCTGGGCTCAGTTTCATTCACAATTTCGTTACAGAACGGTATCGTTCTTTAAAAGGATAAAAAAATAGGTATACTATAATAAACGATAAGGATATCAGTGTTTATAAACTTGGTAGGACCGACCCGATCATATTGGCAAATAAGGCAACTGCCTAGGGCACTGGTTTTCGTAAATGACATTACTCATATTGCTCGTTTTTTTTTTATCTGCCAAAAGACGTCCTGAACGTATGGTAGAGAAAAAAATGTTGGACGATTCAAAAGTACTTTTAAGAAATCTATTTAAATAACGATTATTGACTTTGACTATACCGTTCTTTCGAAGAAGCTCAGCTTCCGAGTAGCTCGGTGGCATAGTCGATAAGCGCCGCGGCCCGCGATCGTAGTCGTTAAGCAACTTTCGCAAGGGTCGGTCACGGGATGGGTGACCAAAAAATTATTATCTCGAGCTACATCGTGCTCGTTAAGCCGTTGGTCCCGGCTGCATTTCAAGTCGTTAATACCCTCCAATCCATATTGGGCCAGCATGGAGGGTCATGGCCCATCCTCCTTAACCATCCATAAGGTTGGCCTGAGCCCCGTAAAAGGGCTGGTGATGATGATGATATATCTCTTTCAAAGTATGCTTAAAGATATCAAACTTATGATTATGTTAGATTTTAAAATTTTGATAATTAAATTACAATTCCTTACAAATTCAAATTTGTTTTTTATTATTATTTTTTATTTGTTTATCTATTAGTAAAAAACATCTGCACTTTACAAACAAACCTTCAATTGTTCAACTAAGCCTCCTTTTACCTATGCACCAGTTGAGCGACTCCACATCGACGCAGATGTTCATCAATACATTATCATATTATTATTTCTACTTAAATAAAGGCAAAGAAATATATTCTATTTATATTTTAAATGTCTAGGCTCAGTTATTTCAGAAATAATGGTGGACTAGTAGATTTTTGCTCGTTTTCCTAAAATAATGATTGCCTATCAAAATTTCTCTATAATAATGAAAATTATGACGCTTTTATTGTACAACACTACCTGTCCGTTGTACAAACTTCCAACAAAGTTGTAACTACTTTAAAGGGATACGATACGATTGTAAATATAAATTTTTAAATTAAAAACATTCATAAGGGTCATTAAGCCTTATTAAACATTTGTGCAACTGAGCGAAAAATATATTTTCTTAAATACTGACACGTTCTACTGGTCTGTGGAAGTCTCTAGATTTATACTTCACCTTAAAGTTTGCAGTAAAACCTATTATGTGTGCCGCGTCTGCTACAACGCTAATACGTGCTGCTAGGTCTGAAACTTTGCAAGATCAGCATTACTATACTGTAATAAAATTTGCCTCGAACTGGACGTCGAACACAACGCTACTACAGGATATGATGAAATAAAACCTATATCAGTATCATTTGCGGTAGGTTTTATTTGACTGAACAGCACTTTGCTGTAACAGCACTTTGGTCGACGTCGGATTCAACACTGATTTCAGTGTTTTCATTGATCCATTCGGATGGCATACCCTTAAAACGAGAAATATACGTTTTAAGAGACAATTCGAGAGACTTCAAAAGACTATTAAGAGACGTTATATGAAACTGCTTGATGAATTTCATGGATATGAGGTTTACACTATTTTGTATGATACTCGATCTATCAAACTTTAGAAGATCTCTACTACGGAGTTTAATGCAAACACGCATCTGTTTGTGCTGCACGTTTATTGATATCCGTAGAAAAAAGAGGTCTTTCGGGGAGAACTATGCATTGTCTGCCTGCTTTCTTGCTCACTTCAACTGATTATAAAAGTAGTTATCCTCGATTAGTTTGTGTAGTTCGAAGTGAAATAAATACCGTGAATATCCGGACTGTAATTGTATCGTTCGCATTCTGTATGTTATTTATGTGTATGTATTGTATGTATGTGTAATTAGTATTTATGTAATTATTCAATATTTTTATTTATATATTTTTTTGTATTTTATTTTGTAATATTTTTTTTTTACTGAATATATCAACCTTTATCGCCTAACATGCAAATCCATCATTCCTTCAGGTTGACTGGTAGAGAATGCCCTTGGCATTAAGTCCGCCATTTGTATTATTTTTATTGAATGCAATGAAGAGTAAATAAATATCCGAAGTGCAATAAACATTTCACTTACCCTAAGGATCCTGTAAGGACTCTCTTCTAGCAGGCAGACGTCACCGGAATGTGACTGGTCAGTGATCTGAGATGGCAGCATTATCTGAAGCTCCCCGACGTTATCCCTCTTCACTGCTGGCTCTCGATTGTGACCGGTCAGAGTCCACATCCATTCCTGATAAAAAAAAATTAATGATTTAATCTCGATATTATTATTATTAATAATAAGGGATTTCCATTTCATAATCGTTTTTTATTACTAGTATTTTCACGTGTTAAATTTCAAGATTTCGTTTCCAGTAGGGACCATAATTCTAGAGACGTTATATTAAACTGCGTGATGAATTTCATGGAAATGAGATTTATAATTATTCTTTGAGCAGATGGGATACAATGCTCGAACATTTTAGAAAAATCTACCTTATTTCATTCTAATATAATTCGATGGTCTTGATTACAGTGTGCTGGATAGTATCCAACTAATATTTATATTGTTTGTATTTCAGTAGTTTAAAATAATATATTATGATAAAGAATACATTCACTAAATGTTTGATTGAATAAATAAAATGCCAGGAAGAAAGATTATAATCAGACTGAAATATTCAGTATTACTTATTGCTTCTCAAAAAGAAAACTCACTCATGGTGCAACAATACTCACTCATGGTGCAATAGCTATAGTTAAACTTGATTCTAATATTGATAATTTATATCATTTTACACATTATGAGGATTGTATCGATATATACAATGCTTTCTCATGAGTGTTATCATGGTTCACAGTTAATAATCTTCAATTGAATGTTAAAAAAAAAACAAATGAATAAAATTTACTTTAACTAGTGTACATTTTTGGGCATAACACTAGATTCAAAACTGCAATAGAACCCGCACATTTAAATATTAGCTGGTAAATTCAACTCGGCTGCATATGCCATATGAAAAATAAGACAAATTACCGATATAGTAATTGCCCGGAGAGTGTACTTTAGTTATTTTCACAGCGTCATGCATGTCCTATGCTATTATATTGTGGCTAACGGCAGCCGATATTTAGTCTACAATTGTTTTACAAAAAAAGAGTAATAAGAGCTATCTCTCAATTAGGCTCACGAACATCACTCCGAAAAAAATGGAAGAAATTGGAGTATTGACGGTTGCATTTCAAATTATATATAATTGTATGTACTTTTTGTGTGGAACAATAATAATATGTATATGTCGCAGTAAGATAGATAAAGCCGTAATATAGTTATATCCCTAGGGATATAATAATATACCGTAACATAGTTATACGGAAGCGATTCATTACTATCTCACTGGGAATATAGTTATAAAGCGGTCCAAGTTAAGTGATATACTTATATTACTAGATTAAGTTCAGTGTTATAAATATATTACTTGATTAAGCTTAGTGAAATAGAAATCTACCATATATAATTAAATAAAACAATATTATATTGGTTTTATCTTTATTAAAAAATCAACTTTATATATCCTGCAGTTAGTTACAATACTTTGTGACATTAACGTGAATTAAAGTTAATTCAATTATAATTAAAACGATCATATTTTTTGGAATTTAAACAACAATAAAAATACAATTAAAACTATGTAATCAAACATTAAAATTTTTATAGCTAATCATATATATACCAAGCCTAGTGATGTACACAAGCTTAACATTAGAAATATAAACAAGCTAGTAATGCCTTCTTACAGGTTACAGAAGGTATTAGGTTCATTCATGGGTCAAGGTATAGGTACAGTACCTTAACAAGATACCCAGAAATGTAAGAGTATTAAATTTACCAATAAATAGTTATAGTAGTTTAAAAGTAATAAGTAAAGTATATTATACCGTTAAAGAATATTTCAACTTGAAAAAGGCATGGTGTTAATTCTCTGCTAATACTCTATTTAGTATACTTAAAAACTTTAGAAAATTCTAGAACACCATTTTAATATAGGTATCTTAAAATTGTTATGATTATTACTTTTTATATCATAATTTAAAAAAATATACTAACCTGATTCACATATATTTAATTTGGTTTTATCATTTTCAATAACAGCTTATTTGGTTTTCGTATCATTGTCGAAAATATATTGAAAGCCAGTGAACTTTGGTTTAAGCGGCACCATGAAAGGCGACTTCGAGTGGCCTGTACCGACTCAAGATGACACCACGTCAGAAGCCGGTTCTCAACCGGGTTAATACAAAATTGACCCGGTTGGGAACTGACCTTCGAACTATTAGACTTTCGAATAATATCTAGATGCTGTGGTGGCCTTTTTTATTTCAGATTTTCATAAAACAAATACTTTGATCGATTTAAGATTTGGATATTTAAGTGATCTTATCCAATATTCGTTAATTTGCTTTAAATTAATGTATTAAACTACATTTCGTGTCAAACTCCAGTGACGTCGTGACATGTTTACATCATCTCTAATACAACACGATGTCTGTCTCGTGCGACGACACGTGCCCGTTTAATTAGGACTTTTGCTTTGGCTTCGGAAAATTGACTCCCATTCTACATCGAACGTCTGAAGTGTTGTTTTTATGTGCGAAATGAACGAATCGTTAGGTCGACGTCACGTTGAAGTAAGCCCTAAGAAATCGTTAATGTATACTAAAAATGAACGATAGGTGGCGTTGGAGTCACAATTACGTTTTAAACTGTCTCATTACCCTTGGTCTCACCTCATGTTGATCTCATTAATGGATTCAACCGTGAATTTATTTATCTTAAATAATTTCAACATTACATATGTCTCAAAACTTTAAATTGTAATGTAAAATTAAATAAAGTTTTAGAATTAAATATGTCATTTCTCACGAATCCTTTTATATTATTTTTTGTGATGATTGTTAGTTACATAAAAGAGTTAATTTAACAACACGGATTTGATATTCACAAATAGTAATTTCTTGTGAAATTAAGTTCTCTTCAATTTTATACATATTCCTCCTAAATAATAAATATCACTAAAGAGAAAAGAGTATACACAATGAACCGGTAAAAGGCTTTTAGCAAACAATTTAGCTATAATGATTGCCTTTAAGGTAAGCATCTTAGAGGTAATAGAGTAAGGCTTAATAAATCGAATAAACGTAATGTTCTTGAAACTGTTAGGATTATGATATGATTTTTGTTATTGACAGTACAATATATTATGACATTTTATTTTATTTTTAGAAATAATCATTGCAACATACTTTACCATATCACAAATGTTTATGTGCATTAAATAGGCTCCGAAATTATTGAACCAATTATAAAAGTCTTTCATTTACGGGAAGCTACATGCAAAGTCACGGGGAAACAGTTAGTTTGATAGAAATTGGTTCTGAATTCAAGTAGAAATCGATGAACATACCTGCTTACATAAAAAAATCTCCTTTCAGATTTTGTACGATGCAAAATACGTAATATTTTGTTTTTAACTGAAATAAACATATCTTCATATTTAGGTGATATCTGATGAGAAGCGTATTTTGTATATAAAAATGGAAAACTACTTATTCGATACCGATAAAATTTGAATGCGATCAGTTCGGTTCATTATGCTTTTAAATAAAAAAATAACTTAGAAAATCGGTTATGTATATTTCATAAAAAAACATAGGTACATCGCCGTCAAACATATAACATACTTCTATTCGATTTCGATGTCGGGTATAAAGTAGGTAAGTACAATTAATTTACCTAACATGTATTATTCAACATTGTATAATTAATGAATTGGTAATTCATTAGTCAACTCTAAAGTTTCGTAGTACTTACTCAGATGGGATTTGCGTGTTAATAGCTTTTAAAATATTGAATCGTGCCAAGTGCAATATAAAAAGATTAATATAGTTACTTAATTAAGATCACGTTTGAAAATAAATTGTAACAAGTAACTATATTAGAATATTTCTAAATTTCTTTAATTATTTCCCATATATATTATAGAAAATGGCCTTTAGAACACACGACTAGCTTAATTTAGTGTCACTTCTCACCATCCGAGTGTAGTGCGATTTAATGTGCCCCCGAAGCTCATTAGAACTAGATATATTAAATTGTCTATGATCTGATAAAAGACCGGCGAAAATTGTTTAGTTGTAGATTGCCGAAGTACAGCAACAACTACGAACGCAACAAAAAATTGTCCTTGAATTACATATGAAACTGCCTTTTATTTTATCGATTATAAGGAGACCCAAAAATTTCCTTGAACTTCCTCACGTTCTAATTATACTTTTTGATACATTTTTTTGCATTGTATTAATTGAAAAATGGATAGTGAGTAATTTACGGTGTAACGTTAGAAATGGTTAGAAATGACAAATATGAAATTCCACTTTCCACACTTAACCGATAATACGCCAGCATTTGGTGTTTATTAACGAGGTTTATATACTCGACACATCTTACGTCATATATTTACCGAGCCTAAAACCTTATTCGAGACAAAATAAGAACTTTTTTTACACATTGTTAAGAATTGTGAGGGCAGAGAGTGCTCTGGCGGGCGGTCTACTTAACAGTAAAATATAAAGGTTTGTTTACACTTCGTTGTGTGTTAAATATAAAGTATCTAATTGAGAACGACGTTAAATATTAAGCATGAGTGATTTCGATTTATCATACTATTCCAAGATACCGATAGTGGACTCCTCAAGAGATAGAAGTAAGCTTAATTCAAAAACATGCAACAAAACAAAAAAATGCGTATATACTTGTAGTCGTAATATCAAATTCAATAATTCACATTTCTGTTAAGCAGCTGCTCTGCCCAGATATCCTTTACGTCTCGCCCGAACTAAAGTATTATTACACTAATATGACATAATAAATGCACAAAGTATCGTCGGAGGTCAATTTCGTGAATCTTCTTGAGTTCATTGAATTTTTTCGTCTTATTATAAAACGGAGACCAACTTTAGTGTCAAGCTTAAACCATTATCCTACCAAATTGTATCAACACGCATCACTTTTACATTTTCTCTTCTGTCACTGTAAATTATTAACTTGAGCCCTCCTTTTATAGGGAATTTAGAAAATTTCGAAATTATAAAAAATATGTATTTATATAAATATCACAATAAGTTTCACCCGGTACCAAAAACTTCCGCATGGCGTATACTGACCTTATGTACTAGTTTCAATGAGCCACA